CTCTATCTCTCTATCTCTCTATCTCTCTATCTCTCTATCTCTCTATCTCTCTATCTCTCTATCTCTCTATCTATCTATCTGTATTCCAGATGCATAAGCCTCTTCTGGGTAACTTAAAAAGAATGAGGGAAACAGGTACTTGAACTGTAGCCTTTATCTCTAACCTTCCATTGCAGAGGAGATCTGCAAGGAATTGATAACAGCATTCAGCTAAAATGTACAATTAGGAATGCCATCCAACAAATCCCCAATCAGAAAGAGGGCTGGCCACATACTGTATCTATATCCAATCTCTAGGCTTTAATTTTCAGAAGATTTGAAGCGGCTACGGTGTTCTTAGTATGCAACCCTAATGTGTAAAGCAGCTTTGAGGACTTCTTTAATTCACAAGGGTTGGATTCTCTCTCCATTTACATAATCGAATTTGATATGTGTCTTAAAAATATTTTCAAATAAATATGAGCTAACAGAAATATAAAATGGCTCACAGACTAGGATGCATTAAACGGTGGTCTAGTACTCTGCAGTGTTTCAGAGTCAGTTCCGAAGTGGTGCTTCAGAACAGGTGGACGGATTTTATTACAGCCATGCAATTCTGGAAGCTGCTTTAATGAGTCACAGACAACCCTGCAGGAGGTAGAATTCCCACCTGGATTATGTACCACACAATTCCCAGAAATTAGCATCAGCCATTAAATCTTATCACCAGCTGCATTATTTTATCTCTTCAAACTATAAAACAATTCTTAGTTACAACCCAAGTGTGACAGTCCAAGCATGGCTCCCCTAACTAAGGCAGGATGGCAATTCTGCATCAACCAGCATTGGTACAAATTTTCTACTTGTTTATTATTGTATGTAGTATTTACTGTACATTTTTCCCATGTACAAAAGTACATTTAGAAACAAATGTACTTTTTCAAAATGGCCCAATGTGTACTCAGTGTAGCTGTCCACTAAGATACTAGCGTTACCAAAATGGAGTCGCAGATATGGATCTTTGACTATTGGTTAAGTATATCCTTTTTCTATTTAGGACTATCCACAATGACATTACCTGATAACTTTTTCACAAGATGGAAAAGAACTCTGTAGCAGAAAATACAGTATTATGGCTTCCTTCCGGAAACTCTATTAACAGTAGATTTTCATCCAGCTAACCTGGCATGAAGGCAACGTATTATAGCCATGGACAAACCTTCTAAAAGATATGTTTTTAGAAGGCCAACCAGCTACTTAGTATCATGCCAGCCAGACATTTAGATCAATTAAAGTGCCCACATTGAGAAGAACCCTATCACTACCATATTTCAATGTAGTGAAATCCTAATCCAGCAATTTTAAGGGAAGTTTAAGGGAATGCCATGTGCAGCCGAGCTTTGTCCATGTCAAGTGAGGATCACTTTCTTTTATATTGTGCTTTTTATAAAGATAGTTGTGCTTGTTTTACAACTTGCCTTTTAATCAAATTCCCAGGCAACTCAGATGTCTCACTAGTTATTGTCTAATCAGTATCATCCTGAGGCAGAGAACTTTGCAGAGAGAGGAGTGGGAAGCTGACTAGCAAGTAACAGAAAGCCAACACTGCACTCTCCAAAGATCTAGAGAACCTGCTGAAGTTTATTCTCCCCAGTCCCTTGAGCATTCAAGGACAGGGGTTGAAAATATAAACAGACACTTTGGAGCCTCAGGAGTCCAAACCAAGAACTCAAAGTAATGTTCAGAATCAGATGTCTAATCAAGGAGGTAAACTGATCTGGCAGCAACAGTTTGAGGCTTGTTCTCCTGTCTAAATAAGTCTTCCAGCCTTAGCTGTGAGCATATAAGCAATTCCTTACTTGTGTAATTTCTGGCCCCTTCCTTCCCTCTGAGGAAGGCCTTCCAGTATGAGGATCCGGCTCTCTTCTCTGCTGGGCAATGAGCTGAGTTCCAGCCAGGCAGCATAGAAGGCTATTATACAGGCCTGATCAGGGTAATCCAGCCAGTGCTTTCTATCTGTTGTCCTCTGGCACCTGCTGCGTCCCTCAACATTCTTCTCTAACCCTCACATCTGTTCCATCATCAGAGCAGCCTTTATGCTCAACGGGCACTAAGTCCACAGATACTCTCCTGTTGTGGTTTATTCAAATGGAGATTGGTATTTTCCCTTCACCACATACAACATCCCTTAAATATTACTAAATTTTGTTTTATTCCTTGTTTTATTACGAGTTGATTTCCTCCTCTTAATTCTATTGTTTTATTGTAGTCTGTTTTGTTCCTTAAAGCCCTCTTACTGGCTTTTGCTTTTATTGTTTTACTATTTTAGTTTTATTTTATTTTTTATTGAGATTTTCTCATTGTTGAGCATAATAAAGAATTACATGACAATATATAATAATGACATACTAGCTCTTCTGTAATGCAAAGTAACAGAGCACTTTATATTTTAAACAAAGATAGTCTTGTGAAGTAAAACAAAGTATTCTAAGATATCTTTGGTTATCAAAGGGTGTGTGTGTGTGTGTGTGTGTGTGTGTGTGTGTGTGTGAGCCTCAGGCTCATAAGAATTTTCCCCCCATTCTTTTTTGTGTCCTTGGCAGATTTCAAAATGGAGGATTTTATACACTGGCATGGTTCTCAATATTAAGAAAAGTAAATCTTTATAAATATAGGTGAACATTTCTCAGAATTATTTACCTTTTTTTGGAGCTCCTGGATATTTGTTTCCCAGTTCTTATCTTCTTGTGAGATTTGTCTAAAATTAAATATATAGAAATTCACACTTAGAGAAAAAGAGCTTAGATCATTACTTGTTATTGGTAATTATATTTATTATTTATGTTCCATAACCACTTACCATTAGTCATGACACAACGTGTATCTGTGTTAAACAATACATGATGCAATTATATTAACGTTCAGCCTTAAATAATCATATTCCAAAAACTGGAACTTCTCTACATTTCCCAGGACTGTTAAACGCATGTGCTAGGAGTGATGAACAGTACCCATGAGCTACAATGATATCCTTCAAAAGCTTAGAAGAAATTTTGTGTAATTTTGTGGAGTGCACCATGAAAATTTGGATCACCATCTACAAATATAGCACATCTGTGATATGTCCATTTTTATAGCTTCTAGTTAACTTATCCAAAAGCAACAAGGTTGTATCATCATATAACATCAGCTAAAATTGTATATGTGTTTTGTGTGTCTGACATGTCCAGTCAAAGTCTTCATGCAATGTTACAAGAGATTGACACTATCACACTATTGGGGTGAGTCCCCAAGCCAAAAATAAATCTGGAATCTATGAATATGGTAAAAGGTACTAAACTATGATTCTCTCCATGATTTTTTAAAATCTTGTGGAACACTTTTTGCCCCAATGCTTTCTCCTTTCTCCTTAAACACAAGGTAAGGAACACATGGAGAGCATGACTTCCATAATTCATTATGGCCCTTTTGTCAGCAGTAGCCTTAGGAAGCATCTGTATTTTCTACTCCATACAAAGTAATGTGTTCCATCTGTGTGTGTGTTTCTGCTCTCCCCTCTTATTCAGTCTATGTATGTTTATGTGTTACTGGGAAATAGAGGAAAGGCTGCAGATACTTTGTTCTGGGTCACTTGATCAGGAGGGAATGGGTCTTAGAATGGAGTAGTTGCCAAGATTATGAGCCACTACCAAACTGCCTACCCTCTAGGGATGTACGGGAAGAAAAAAATTGGAATCTTTGGGCCCATTTTCAAATGACCCTTTCTTTTGTCGGCTTCTCCAACCATATCAACTGTGGCTTGGTTTTGTTAAGTTTTAAAGAACTATTGTGGTGATGGATAGACCAAAAGAGATTGACCTCTTCACATAATTTCTTTCCAACAATCCATGAGTTTAAAAAGAATGGATACTTCACTAACAGTGAAAATCAATACAATTTCTTGAGCTATTTAATGGTGTTGCTGTTTTTGATATTTGAAAGGATTGTGGTACAAAATTAAAGGATCCAGGGAAGCAATTCTGAGCAGCCATTTAGAATGGTCCTTCACTTTAGGCTAACACATAGAAGAAAACTCAGATTTTCCATTAAATTTGCACTCTGTAGCAGTTATAGGAATCCTGGAGGATCTATTCATGTATATATTATAGATCTGTTTCCAGATTTTTTTTCTCATTTACATATAATGTGTTCAATTAAAAAAAAAAATTACTTTTGAGTGAGAGTTGGTTTTTTTTAATTACATAAGTCTCAAGTTTCTATCATGATGGTCTCATCCAATATCATGCAACTTGACTTCTCTGTCCTCTCTGTTTCTCAACCCCCTTTATACCCTAACCAAATATGCTCAGGTCAATTTCCTCTTCCTCTATATCTGATTTGGAGGTGCACAGGGCTTCAAAGGGAATCTGGGCACACACATATGCATCACTTTCAGACATATGGACACACTCGCCATAAAAATGTGCTGATAGGTCTTTTGTGAAAAGTTACTTGATATAGCTGTAGATATACTGGCCTGATAAGGACGCAGAAGATAGTGGAAAAACATCCAAATACATCTGCATGTTTCTTAGTTTTCCAGGAAATGGGCAAGCAACCCATTGTTTGAGGTGAGGGGCATTTGAAAGAAATTGAACTACCCTAATAAGATGAGAGATAAATGGGGCTCTAAAAGGGAAGTAGTCTAGTTATTGAATTTTCCATAACTTAACCCAGTGTTTCTCAACCTCAGCAACTTTAAGATGTGTGGACTTCAGCTGGCTGGCTTGGTTGCTGAGGCTGAGAAACACTGAATCTAACCCTTTCCCTTATGATAAAGTTAAAGAAGATTCAGTGAGGGCCTTGTTTTCAGTAAAGCTGGCTGTCAAGACCTGACATTACCTGTGGAAAGTTTTGAGCTTTTTCCTTAGCAAGAACTCAAGGGTACGAACTTTTTGCATTAAGAGGCACTTCACAGCTGTTTCTTCTCTGCTTGCAGGGTTAATTCTCTGGGCTGTCAGCTTCCAAACATGGATTTCATGTTTCAGTTCTAGGAAGAAATAAAATTATTTAGCTGAGACTGACAATATGGCACATTTCAATTTTCCTAGTCACAACATAAGCATATATGATGTCTCTGGCCAAAGATTTGCAATACTACAACCAAATCAGGCACTATCATTCGTGAATTTATACACAGCATTAATCTTCCTTCTGTCTGTAAATGCCTGGGGGCAGGGGGCATTGATGGGAAGTCTTTGTAATGCTTTGTGATAGTTTCATGTTTAGTGTGAATTCAGCCTAAGTGTATACAAGATCTGGTCAGGGATTTGTACAGAGAAAAAGGGAACCCTTAGTGGTATAATACTGCATCTCCAAGTGGCACTGAATAATAACTGCTAAGAAATGGATGCAAAGCAATCTGTGTCAGGATTTTCTTTCTCATGGGAAAGGATTCATCCCGTTATCTTTACAACAATAATAA